TACAACATTTTGACATGTATAAAGAACATAGCTGCAGCATGGGATGAGGTTACAGGTCAGTGCATGAATGGAATATGGAAGAAAGTCCTGAAAAGATATGTGAATAGTTTCAAAGGATTTAATGAAGATGAAGTAATTTCTGAGATTAGTAACAAGATAGTGCAGTTGAGTAAACAGTTGGAGTTAGAAATTGATAATGAAGATGTTGAGCAGTTAGTTGAAAGTGTACTAGCAGATGGCTGTTCTGGTAGTTATATGATGAAAATACTGGATAGGTGACAGCTCTAGATGGGGTTGCAGTGGAAAATGCTTGGGAACCCCTCTCCTATTCCTATAAACCTGTTCTATATGGTTACTGGAGAAATACAGCCATCTGCAGACATAATAAATGTCTTGTCTCATAATGAAATGTTTTGTTCGGGCACTATGTTGTGGGAGGGAAGAGGGAGAGAATAATAAAGTAAGACGTCACCTTCGATACAATGTATCCTTTTATTCTTAAGTCAAAATATAAATTATATATTATATTTTTTCTGTTATTGGAGACTTTATGATGAATCGTACGCCATAAGAGGCTGATCATTGTAGAATATAGTAATTAATCAATAAATTTCAGGTTGAAAGCTAACCTTGACGGCAGACGGCAGGTAGGGAAGAGATTACCTTCTGATACAGCTTGTCCTTTTATTTTGAAGTCATAGTGAGATGCTCAGGTCATCAGAATTAAAAACAAAATAAAAATAATGAAGAAGAGTAATAAGATTTTTTTTATGAAATGAACCACATTTACTGAATACTGTACAGTGGTCTAATGAGATTTGCTATAGGCCTACTGAGAACTAAGGCACTTGGGTATGGAAGCAGGCTGGGGCTGATCATGTGTTGCATTTGTCAGGTACAGTATATTTATTTGTTAATTCAGTATTATATTCTCCTATGATTGGCCTCTTATGGTTTATGGTTCATGATTAATATAACATCTTCAGGAATAGAAAATACAATATTGTATATAATTTTTAATATGACTTGAAAGTAAAAGGTTAAGCTGTATCAGAAGGTCATTTACTCAAGATGCATTCTTGTGAGAGCTTTCAGCAGACCAGCTTACAACACGGGGTCACTATAACACACTGTACCTGTAACCACCAGTCAGGCGGTTAAGGATATTTAGACTCTTCACGTAGTACTCTAACATTATAATTCTGTCAAACCTGTTGAATACAATTCATTTAGTATTTCAAATGAGTCATACATAGGCACTCCTACATAAATGTTTAATTCAATATATATTTACATAAAAATCATGGCTATGTAATTAGTCTAATCTTAACACTTACAATATGTACTCAATTTGCCATATTTCTATATTGGCACACTGACAAATGATGCAATGGACACAGTCTACCTGTGTACACAATAAGTACTAGTTAAACTTATGTGTTGAAAGTCTAGAGAGAAGCCAGGGTTGGTGTTGCCTCTAAGATATGGGTAGCTACAATGAAATGCCCACCCAATAGCCTGGCACCCTGGCTGTTCAGCTATGGCGGAGTCAGGTGATTATAATTATATATAAACAAACTCCCTTCACACACTCCAAACTCCTTCTGGGCCTCTCATCTCCACCATCTTCATACTCCACATACTGTATACGGGCTGCTTGCGGTAACACCCACTCCGTTGAGCGTTCACACTCAAAAC